GTAAAACTTCAAACTTATTTTTATTATATCACTTCTACTCTTATCTCACTTAAACTCGATTCTCACCTTATTGAAAAACATTTTAAACTTAGTTATTGAATGAAAATTTGATAAATTAAAATTTATTTTATTATTATTTTATGTATTTAAAAAAATTATAATTTTTCTTATTCATATTTAAACTTTTACTTGATTTTTTTACATTTTAATATTAAAATATTAAAACAATTAAATAATTAATAATAAATAATATATATAGGTAATTAATAAAATATTAAAAAAATTAATATATTATAATAATGAACATAAATAATAAAAATTAATATTTTTGTTTTTAATTAAAATATATTTTTATTTTTTAAGTTTTTTAATATTTATTGTCTCCATGATGAAAAAAAGAAAAAATTTAAAGAAATATTATAATTTTTATATTATAGAGATAAAATTGAAGAGAAGATTGTGAAAAAAAATGAAAAATAGAAAAGGAAAAGAAAAAAATAAAAGGATAAATATTTTATATATAAAATTTGAGTAAAAAATGATAAAAGAAAAAGATACAAGTGAAAAAAATTATAAGATAATAAAGATATATTTATTATATTTATTATATTTATTATTATTATTATAAAAAGAAATAAATATAATATTTAAATTTATTTAATTTTCAAAATATTAATCATATATATATATATATATTTAATCATACAAAATATTTATAAAATATATTTTTTTGAGAATTTTGATGTGTATATTTAAAAAATATATGTATTTTCATTTTATTTTTTTCAAATTAAATTTTTTAATTATGTGTAAATTTATGTTTAATTCCTAAATTATTTCACAGAATTTTAATATTTTAATAAAATATTCATAAAATTTAATTATCACTTAGATACAACACAATTATCTATCATACCCACGATTTTTTTAAGAATAATTTTTTTTTTATAAAAACTTTTACCTTAATTCAATAATGATTTGTTATATTTTAAATTGAAAATTAAATCACATTACAAATAATTAAAATTTATGATATTAAAATTATGAATTGAAATTAAGTAAAAAAATACCAAAATTAAAAAACAGAAATTATAAAAAATAATTTAAAACTAAAATTACATAATTTATTAAATACATGGCCAAAATTACATATTGGTAACAAAATCGGATTGTGAGGCTATTTTTGGAATTCCATGAAGAGTGGATAATTAAAAAAATGCAGGTACGTAATATTAATACACAAGTAAAAGCAAGTGCGGGCCCCACTGTCATAAGAGCGGGAAATTCACATACGCCCAATGATATTGCTTCGTATATTCCGTTTTTAATCGCGGTCGTCCACTTGGCTATCAGCTGTAACATCCTTAGCTTTTGATGATCAATTAATTGCAATAAATAAATAATGTAGGCATTAATTTCTTGAATAGATTTTCCAAACACCAATGTTATTTTATTTTCATTTCAAATTATTTTTTCTAATATATTATTGGAGATTTTATAATAGTGGAAATAAGAAAGTACAACTTTCATGGAAGTACATATTAAGAAAGTTAATAAATTATTATAAATAATTAAAAAAAATAATAATAATTATATAATAATAATAGAAACGTAAAACCTGCTAATATTTTTATATTATTATATTAAATTTTTAAATAAATATATATATCATGTTTTATTCTTTATTTTTATACACGATTTACACGCTTTTTTTTCTTTTTCTTCTCTCACGATAATTTTTTTATACTATCTCTTGTCTCTCATTAATATATTTTAGAAATAATTATAGGCTACATCCTAAAAACAGTTAAAAAAACATTATTTTACATAGTGTTATATTATAGATAAAAAGTAATAATAATAAAAAAAGTGTCCATCAAAATGCCATTATATAAATTAACTTCCTTATATTTTAAAAAATAATTATCCATAAAATTATTAAAAAACATGAAAATAAAAAAAATATTAATCTACTTTATTATTAACTAATAAAATCAAATGGGATGATAATTTGTGTATTTATATTTTATAATTTTATTTTATTTATATTTTTTATAACTTTTAAGTACATAATATTATCAATAACATAATGAAAATATTTATATTTTATTTAATGAAAACAACATTGTTTTATAAACAATGACACTATTAAAAAGAGATATCTATTTTATATACTTGACATAGATAAAAATAATCAAAATTTGCAAGGGATATTACTTATGGTATTATTTGAAAAAAGTAACCTAAAAATGAAAACTGATTTAAGAGCACAAATGTTTTGATTTGAGAGAAAACAAAATATGGAACATCAAAGTTATCATTTTTGCAAATGGCTTCCCATGCCCTAATGCTTAGAATCTCAACAACCCAATTTTTAACCCATCTAGAGTGATAATATGATTTAGTTATTGGTAGCATGAAGAAAGGGTAAGGTTGAAACTTTAACTAAATTGAGGATTTGAACAAAATAGAGATGACATCATTTTCTAGTTATTAAATTGCTTATGGTATTCTTTGTTTGGTAGATGAAAGCAGTTGGAAAGAAAAAGTATCCTAACTAACCTTCCCTATTTTGTCTTTGTTCCTCTTTTTCATTTGGGACCATTATGTCTTAACTAGTTCAAAGAAAAATGCACACAACATCTTCAAACAAATAAAGATGTATTATTTTATTATTGACTTCACATAATTATTTAACAATAAAAATATATTATTTTATTATAGATTTTATACATAATTTAAAAAAAAATTATTTTTAAACCATTCTTTCTCTTTTAAGATATGTCCTTGTAACAATATCATACAGTTATTACTGTCTTAGGTCTAAAAATTCACTCCCATTGTTAATAGAGTACCAGCAAAGTACTTATGGATTATAAATATTGATAATGTATTTTAAATTTAGAATTTTTTTATCTAAAATACAAATTCAATAAAATTACATTATAATATATTAGTACAAAAATTAAATTAATTTGAAAAAAATAAATTCAAATAAGATACATTATAATATATAAATTTCAATAAAAATATTCTCTTTAAAATCAACTTTAATTTTAATTATAATCTAAATTTAAATTATAAATTTATAAAATTAAATTTCCTAATACTTATTTATTTGTTAATAATTTTCTTTATTATTCTGAAAAATATTGAAATAAAAACTATTAATAATGATTCTTCATGAATATAAGATCATATTATTAATGAAAAGATTATTAAAATACTCATTTTTATTAATAACAAATATTAGTACATGTTTTATATCTATTACAAATTTTAATTACTTATATATATATATATATATATATATATATATATATATATATATATATATATATATATATCAAATAGGGAAAGTTTAATGAATAATCTTGTAGGTTTTCAAGATAAGAAGTTTAATTTCGATAAGCTTTATTCCCTAGCCAGATGAGCACAGTGCAAAGCAGAAAAAGCCATGGTTGCTTCTAATGATGAGGTGAAAATGGAAGTGTTTATGTGATGTTGGCATCGTATTGTTGAATAGAGGGTCGTAGAAGAGGCAATAAAATGGATGTGTTAATAACTGAGAAAAGGATTGATCATCTGATGAAATAAGAAAGATGAATGTAAGAGAGGTTAATCTTCACTCTAGTAAGAATATCATATTCAATAGTCATAAAGAAAAAATTAATTCAATTAGCAAATTAATATATGAACTTAGTAGAGCACATTTTTTTAATATATATTCGAGTATATATTGATAAAGAATTGAGATTAAAAAAAATATATCCTCTTTTTTAAATCTATTTTTTAAGGAAAAAAATTATGATAGATTAAACTTTTAAAATAAAAAAATTTAATGATATTATCATAGTTTTATGATATTCTCATTACTAATCAGAACCATTTATATAAAAATAGGAAGAATATATCTTTTATTAGAATGAGACAATTTTATAAAAAAATCTGATATTTTGACATTATATTAAAAAAACATTTATTATATAATCTTATTTATTAATATTATAATCATAAAGTAATTGATTTAAAATAAAATTAATTAAAAATTATTATTTTATTAATAAATCAAGTTGTTGAATGGATGGTTGTTAATATTCTTGGGTTGTGATCTATTTTATTTCTATCCTAAAAACAAATTAGTTGGGTTTAAACTTAAAGTGAGATGTTAATCCAAGTGTAAATAGAATAAGTTATGCAAAAACTTAGTTAAAAATATTATATTCTATAAATATACGTTAGAGAAAACCAAGAATAGCATATATTACAGTGAAGAAGATAGAAAGTATATAGATGAATTGGTTGGGTTGCGTGGTGCAGAGAATATGAAAGAATGGAATGGCATGCATTTCGCCAACACCATCTCCATCTGTTTTCCTTGTAGTAGCAACAGAAGCCGAAAAAGAATCATATCATAATATAAGTAAACAAACAAAAAACAGCAAACTCTAAAAATGAGTTCCACCAACTTGCTTCCATTTTCGGCTCTTCTATATATCCTCAGATTTTTCGGGTCATAAATTTTCATTTTAATTGCTTTTGCAACGCCTATATTCCTGCAACCAGAGGTATTATTAATTTCTCCAGCCATTCTTTTTCATTCAACTCCGTTATCTCTCTGATGTTGATTCATCAACTTTTCAAGCCCCCATAGACTCCATTTACCTTCTTCAACTACACTTTTTTATCAAATATATACATATATATATATATATATATATATATATATATGTATGTATATAATTGTAAGAATATCTTTATTCTCTTGGCTTTTATGTTTTTTTTTCCCATGCATGATGAATATGTATGAAGAAGGGTCGCTATTGGCGTGTATGAGAAATGTTTTTTCAGTTCTGACACGCATGATGTTATTTGATGGTTTAAGCTAAGGAGTAGGGGCATCTGTGAGTATTGTTGATTCTCTTCCACCTTACTTACGGCTGTCTGTTCCCATTTGAGGAAGCTTTTACGAGGTTCAATAATTAATCATGTGTGACACCATGGCTATGCCGTCCATACCTATAACAGATCGATCTGCTAAAGGTGGTAAATCTAAGCTGTCGCAATTTCATTCCCTTTGCATTTTTGGTTGATTAATTATATGTTTTGCATGTGCTATGAATTATATTTTTACTCGTTCTTTGTGTCAGAATGTTTTGCATTTAACAGTTTTGCATGTTGACATGTTTGATGTATGAAAATTAATGGAGGCTGAAATCAAATGATTATCACACAAGAATTTACTATTTAGAATGCTCTTATTATAAAGCTTATTCACCAATGAGAGAAATCACTGATATGTAGAAATCAAGATGATCTATTTCTGGGGTTGCGTTTGTAATATAATATCTCTAAACGTATCAATGCATGATTATTTGTGGTATGCATTATGGATATATTTATAAATACGAGAGAGATCATTTTCTTACAGCGGATAGAATATTTTTTATTGATAATAACAAACAAAAGCAGCAGGATGAAGATGTCTAGTTTGTGAATTTCTTTTTTTGTTTTCTCTGTCTTGTTTTCATGTTCAAGCTTCTGTGAGCAATTTTGATTATGTAAAAACAGGCATGGAGATGGAATATTCAGAGGATGATAAGAAAACAAAGCTGGCCTCTTTAAAGAAGGTAGCAATCAGTGCATCTTCGAAGTTCAAGCATTCCTTGCAGAAGAAGGGGAGGAGGCATAGCAGGGTTATGTCTCTTGCTATTGAGGATGACGTTGACGCAGAAGAGTTGCAATCAGTTGATGCTTTTCGCCAAACACTCATCTTGGAAGAGCTATTACCCTCAAAACATGATGATCATCATATGATGTTAAGGTACCCCTTAGACCTTAGAACTTAGTTTCTGGTTCATTTGTTGATTTACTAGTAGCTGTAGTTTGAGTTGGATCATTTAATATCTTACTAAATGGTTATCCAGGTTCTTGAGAGCAAGAAAATATGACATTGAGAGAACAAAACAAATGTGGGCAGATATGCTTCAGTGGAGGAGGGAGTTTGGTGCTGACACAATTATGGAGGTAGCTTTCTGGGATAACCAAAAACCAATGTTCATAAATATACTTTTCTGAGATAGGCCAACCGAGATTTCTTTGTTTTTTGTTAAGGATTTTGAATTCAAGGAGATAGAAGAAGTTCTAAAATACTACCCGCAAGGGCATCACGGTGTTGATAAGCAAGGACAACCTGTTTACATAGAAAGGTTGGGTCAGGTTGACTCTAACAAACTGCTACAAGTCACAACTTTGGATCGCTATCTTAAGTACCATGTGAGAGAGTTTGAGAGGACATTCGCTGTTAAGTTCCCTGCATGTTCAATCGCAGCCAAGAAACACATTGACCAAAGCACAACTATCTTAGATGTGCAGGGAGTGGTATGTATGAAAATATGCAGCAATACTATAAGACTACATATATAGCTTTTACTTTTAATTCCTTGTACAAACAAAACCAGAAAGAGTAAAATTACCAGCATAACACCTTAATTAATGATAGCACATATAATCTTACATTTAAGGAGGTGCTCTCCATTTCCTATCATAAGTGTAGATATCAAGAAGTTTCACACAATTGCTTACTAGATTCTTTGTTCAGGGTCTCAAAAGTATGAACAAAGCTGCAAGGGATCTCATCCAGCGTCTACAGAAGATTGATGGTGACAACTACCCTGAGGTACTACTTTATCTACTAAGTTGTCTAGGCCAATTTCCTAGCTAAAATTCCATCTTCTGAACTTAAACCTGATTGAACTTTTCTTTTCAGACCTTAAATCGTATGTTCATCATTAATGCTGGTTCTGGATTTAGGCTATTGTGGAACACCGTTAGGACATTCCTTGACCCTAAGACCACCGCCAAAATCCATGTAAGCATTTTTTATATATTTTTCTCCATCAAGCAATGTCCATTTCAGTTGAGGAGGAGCACTCAACGTATTACTGCTTTGTTGGCCAGGTCCTAGGAAACAAATACCAGAGCAAGCTGCTTGAAATCATTGATGCCAGGTAAATGTTTTGCTCCATTCTCATTGAAGTACTTTTGTCTCACTCTCATCTGAACTGAAATTTATGACATTAAGGTCATACTGAGAGAGAGTTTAGATTGAGTATATAGTAATAACCATCTATGATCATATTGATTGACGAGGATGTTCTTTCAATATGTTGGTGTATGTCATATATGATTGAATAATAACATTACTACTGAAGACTATGCATAACACCTTGTTCTTATATTATTTATTAGTGAACTTCCGGAGTTCTTGGGTGGTACTTGTACCTGTGGAGACAAAGGTGGTTGTTTACTTTCAGACAAGGGACCATGGAATGACCCAGAAATCTTGAAGGTAGTAAGATTAAATTCTTTTTTTAGTTATGTAATTAGGAAAAGAGTGTAATGAGTGACGTTTTCTTTGGATGCATTAGATGGTTCATAATGGCGAAGGAAAATGCAAGAGGAAAACCTTATCCAGATTTGAGGTGAAAACTATCATTGAAGAAGAAACAGCGTGTCCAAAGGTAGTTAGTTACCTACTTCACAATTTCAAAACCAGTTTTTGTATGAAACTTCTTTCCATCATCTGTTTGCCAGAGAATCTGATGCTTGACTACCTTTCTTTTTAACAATAATATTAGGATTGGGATTCTTTAAACAAAGAACCTGAAGCCATGGAGCATCCTGGTGCTGCTCCAAATGTAAGTTTCTTAGGTTTCAATCATTTATTGCTTTGCTTCCTTTCGATTTTCAAATTGCAAGAAGCATTCAAGGAAGCTGCATATATCAACATTATGCAGATAATTTATGTAATGATGGAAATTGACTGTATCTATAAACTCTAGGCCTATGTAGCTGAAGAGTAACTTTTAATAATTTGCATGGTGGAGAACAAGCACTTATTGTATGAAGTATAAATCAAATGATTGATTTATACTTCATAATTGCAGATATCACATAATTGCAGAATTAACCTTCTCGTACATATTGGCAGGTGGCCTATGGCCAAGTGATTGACAAGCCAGTGAATACATCTTGGAAAAAAGCTGGAAAAAGTGATGAGTTAGCCCTTTCTACAGATCACTTGCCTAGAAACAATAGTTCTAATGGGTTTAGAATCTCGTTTACTGGTGGACTCATGTCGATTATTATGGGAGTGATAACAATTATCCGCATGGCAAAGAACATGCCAAGGAAAATCGCTGGAGCTGACATGTATGGTAACACATCATATTGTGATGGGAACATGATGAAAGCACCTGCCCTTTGCATGGATGATCAAATGGCCATGATGAAGCGCATGGCTGAACTAGAAGAAAAGGTGAATTTCCTCTCTACGAAACCTGTAATGCCACCTGAGATAGAAGAATTGCTGAATAATGCTCTTAACAGAGTCAGCACGCTGGAGCAAGAGTTGGCTACCACCAAAAAGGTGTTATTGGTTTTTCTTCATACTTGAATGTCATCATCGTAGAGAATCATATATGATAAAAAAGCATCTTACATGTTTGCACTCTTTGTTTCATGTAGTCACTTGACGATACCCTTTCTAGACATGTGGAGCTTCAGGCTCAAATTGACAAAAAGAAAAAGAAGAAGTTTGTAAGTCATCTGAGCTTTGATATATTATTCTTTGCCAGGCATTTCAATAGGTAGTATATTACTATGGTTTAGTGCTTTCGCTTACACAAGAATTTGGGTTTGTGATTGCAGTTCCGCTGGTAAGGTGTTTGGTTGACCTCAAATACTTAACATTAGCAAGAGTTGTATATGCTTGGAGGCCTTCCTTTCATCAGCCCCATCGGATGCTATTGCATTCACCTATGTATAATTTCTCCTCTATTCGAATGAAATTTTCTGTGAAATTACAGTGATATTCCCTGATAATTTTTTATGGATATATGTACATATAAATTAGGCGTAACAAAAATCAGATTGGCTTGCTTCGCAGATTCTATCTTGAAGAAGTCCGAAGAAAGTCAAGTTCCGTAAATTCATTTTTACCTGGCCAAATTATTCTTCTCATAATCTTACCATCTAAAAAAAGATTTCTAAAAGTCTCGTGGATTCACGCGGGCTACATTTCCCCACTCTTTTTGAAGTAATTACATCTTTCGTAAAGACAAGATTGTTAAATTTCGATGTTATTTTCGTCCCTGTAATAAAGTGAACTTAGCTCCAACTAAGGCAATCCACTTCCTATTATATTGACAAACAGGACTTCACTATAACCATCATCTACGATAGCAAAAAGGTTACGCCTAACGAATCCACATATTTAGTATATACTCGTATGCACAAGCCCTTTACCATCATTACCTTCTAATTTGAGAAATAAAATTATCATTGTTCGCTTGCCTTAGAGATTTATACGGATTTAGCACGAAATATGTGCCCCATTTCCGAAATACCTTTGCAACCATACATATAATTGGGGGATTATTTACTTTTTAGCTTTCTTCCCCCCATATCCCCCTAATATTCAATGCAAATACGATATCAGAAGAACAAACGCTTTTGCAAACAACAAAAGACGATCACACCAAATAAAACGAAGGTGGCCAGAGCAAAATCAAGGCTTGTGTTTAATCCGGCAAAGAAGCCATTGGCTATACACGAGTTTGAAACAATTTTCCAGTTTACTCACTAAACAGAAAATCAGGCTCAGGGTTCGACATAATGTGCAGGGTCGACACTAGGAACACCATGATTCGAAAACACCCTCTCCCCAAGAGTCCTTTTGTATCAGCCAACCAGAACTCACCAGCAAAACTTCTTCTGATAAGCAGCAAAACATATTAGAAATTCGCACAGCATCCTTAAAACGGTGTTCAAAATATAGAAGAGACAAACTTACCCGCAACTTAGGTTTTTCTTGACTATCAATGTAAGCAAGCAGCTCTTCTTGCCTCATTAATGCTTCATACAGAGCCTATCGAATAATCCAGAAAGTACAAATGTATCAGTACTGTTCGGGTAAAGAAACATAAGAAACTAAGTATTCATAACATCTCCACGGTCATAATATGACATTTACACCCAAACATAAATTGCGGAGGAAGAGAACAAAAGAAAAACAGAAATAACCGATTGGCATAGTTGACCACGAAATGAAAATGTAAAGAAAATAAAATCTAAATTAATGCAACTGCTCTTACATAATTAGCATAGCTGAATATCAGTGTGAGCACACAAATACACTCGTTTACCAACCAACACACATGACATATAGCTTTGATTAGGTGAGAAGAGGTGATATAGGCAAGCAAAAAATTGATTTTTCTCTTTGGATTAATCCTGTAACATACAATACCTCAGTTCGCATAGACAGAAAAAAAAAAGGGTTTGAATTATAAAAGAAAAAGCAGACATGAGAGATATATCATTGATTCATTAAGAAAATGTTCATGGATATATTCACGTGGTAGCCAGCAAACAAGAGCAAGGTAGGATTATAGTTTGGCATTTAAAGATAAGAAAAAATAAGATATGGACCTACATTGTCATAAAGTTTTTCAAAAAATTATGAAAAAGTAAAAGTATAGCGCATCCTACCTTTTTAGTTGCAATTAGCTCTGCTTCCAAAGCATCCACCCGACAAACAGCAGCATTTAGCAATTCCACTTTCTCATAAGGCATCTCAGATGGCTTAGATTGGAGTGTGTCAACCTTCTCTTCAAGTTCACCTAATCTTTTCATCATTGAGGAAAGGAGATTTGCCTCTGTGTCTTCTGGATTTGATGATGGAGTACTATTGACTTCATTTGTTCCATCAACGGGTGGCTCTAAAGTGCACTGATCCTCATTAGATGAGGCGGCAGGAAGCCTCTTGGTCACACATGTTGCGACTGTGCGGAAGAGAGTAAACAGCATCATCAAGAAAACAGTTAAAGCTACCACAATCCGAGCTCTAATTCCTTCTGGAGGTTTTGGAGGTTCAGGGAGGGAAGGTGCTCCTGTATTGGAAAATTCAATTTAACAATTCTGAAGAAAATTAAATCAAATAATTCAAATCAAGAAAAGAACTAGCTCTTCTTAAATCTTAAAGCCAGGACTTCTGCAAGTGCTAATCCCAAATAAATCCCCTCAAACAAAAGTCTTTTAAGCTTCAAGCCCTGACAGAACACAAATACCAGGTCAGGGATCAACTGTTCCAAGATCTTAAACTCTCAAGTGTGGGTCCTGAACTGGTTTGTCTCTGACTGACCAGAAATTATACATCGCACAGATATAATACACCATTTTCATAAATAGAAGTTCACTATCATATTTGTCAATTCAAATTTTAAAAGCTAAGGGCAATTAGAGACAAGGGGGTGGATTGTTATTTAAGGCAATAAGTGAATGGTGCACAGCTTACGAACAAGAGCATATGCATTAGAAATCATGATTTAAATAGATGTCAAAATATAAGTTAATTTCAATCAAGATTAGTCAAAAATCAGGATTTAACTGGGTATAACTTTTATATTATGACACAACATTACAGACCAAAAGCTCATGACATCGTATGTCCTGCAATGTTTAAAGCACAAACAGTAGTGTCACTATGCTGAAAGCTCAAGTTTGTTCTGAGCTTTAAAACTCAAAGCAGCTACAAAATTTCAAAACTACAGAATTATTTTTGGAGCATCGGAATTGATTTTTGGTGAACAAGCACTGTGAGAAGATTCATACAAAGGGTAAATAATGTAACAATAAACTAAAGTTGTTAGACCTTTTGAAGTTTGAGCCCTCTGGAGTGATGCTTGCTTCTTCCAGCCAGCATCAACAGCTTTGTCCACCATTGGAACATATTCATCGTACCCAGCCAAGTTACCACCACCAACATAGCTTGACTTTCCAACTACCTTAGCCTAATAAATGAACACAAAATATAAATAACTTCTTTATTTGGAATAGACCAGGGTCAATCCTAAGAACAAGTTCCTTGTAGCAATATATCTTGATCATCCTCATGAAATCTTTAAATATAGTGAATGTCTTCCGCATATAAATGCATTTAATCAAATACATGTTAAATTTTAAAAGAAATATATATATATATATATTAGATGCAACAATGATCAAAGAAAATCTTGCAGCCAGTAAAATTATTAAGTAGATAGGAAGTGCACAAAAGAACTAAAATCAATCAATTCAAACTTCTGACAATTTAATGAAAACTACGAATGAACAGATAAGAGGATCAACACTTACTTCCTCGCGAACAGGTGTCAACCTCAGGTGAGAGTAGCTCTTCATTGCTTTAGGAGAGGCAATATCTTCAGCTTCAGATCCTGATTCAGCTGTGGAAGTGTCACTACCTTTTACCTGCAAGATAAAAGTGACAGTTAATAACGTTACAAAATGAAAAGGACACTTAAGAGATATAAAGGATTCAAGTCCACCTCCACCCTGTTCAAGCAATAATAATCCATACAACATATTACCATTGGGTATTGTGGTCTGGCATATGCAATAACCTTCCCGTCGCTGTTAAGAACTTTTACCACCGGCCTTGCTCTTCGTGCTTCACCACTGAGAATCATCTGCAAAATGTCCACATGCAATTAACAGTTAGCATGTAGCAAGATTCATATTGTATATCACCTATTGAGCATATTGGAAAGAAACATCAGTGTATGACCTTCAAAATTTCAGGGTTTTTCCAGGGACCTTTGTCAGATCTGAGGCAACCACCCTGATCTGCACATGTACAGGTACCTCCCAGAAATTCTGGCAACTCACTTCATTAAGTGCACAAAAATATTAGGCTTTTTAAAGGATGGTGCAAATTATTAGTGATGGCTAAAAGGTAAAATACATTCATTAATAGAACAATAAATCACAAGATTTGTAACATGCGGATACAGAGAAATAGGTCCATTGTGTACCTGCCATCGATTACTTCAAGTAATTTGCTTTGGTACTTATTTCCAAGAACCTAGGTAATATTTCCAAAGAGGCACCGAGCAATTTCAGCAGTCATAAAACAACACGAAAAAGAGCCTTATGCAGCTAGAATATAGCATTATTTACATACATGGATCTTTGAAGTTGTTTTGGGATCAAGGAAAGACTTGACTGTGTTCCACAGTAACCTAAATCCAGGGCCAGCATTTATGATAAACATTTGGCAAAGAGTCTGTATCATTAATTAGGAAAAACAAATCAATAATCATAGATCATTGACACCTTAGTAAATGTTATACTTTAAAACTTCCAATAACGGATGAAATCAAAACAGGAGTGTAGCGTAACACAAAATTACTCAGAAACTGAGATTACTCACCTCAGGGTAATTGTCACCATCAATCTTCTGTAAACGCATAATCAGTTCCCGGGCAGACTTTGTAAAGTTCTTAAGACCCTAAAAGTTGAAACTACAACATAAATTTCCCATATGTCGCAGGAATCCGAGACAGGTACAATGAGGAACAATTAACAGCAACATACCACGCCTTGAACATCTAATATCGTGGTGCTTGAGTCAATGTGCCTTTTGGCGGCAATTGTGCAAGCAGGAAACTTTATCTTGAAAGCTTTCTCAAACTCCCGTACATGGTATCTTACATATCTATCCATGGTCGTAACCTGCATAAGTTTGTTCGGATCTACTTTCCCAAGTCTCTCAATGTAAACAGGCCTTCCCTCCCTATCAACACCGTGATGGCCGTGCGGATAATACTTCATAACTTCATTTAATTCTAAGAACTCAAAATCCTAAAGAAAACAGAAGCCTTAAAACCCAGAGTATGCAGCAATCAACAACAAACAAATCCAACCACCAAAGAGGCTAATCTTGAACCCTACACAGTAAATATTATCCAAATTCAATCTGCATTTACCTCCATAATAGTGTCAGCACCAAACTCCTTCCTCCACTGTAGCATATCAGCCCACATATGCTTTGCCCTTTCAATGTCAAACTTCCTCGCTTTCAGGAACCTGCAAAATACATAAACATCAAGCAAGAAAAAAAAAAAGCAATTGAGCTTGTTTATTTAAAATTTCATATTTATCTAGGTAAGGCACACCTTAACATGACATGGTAATCATCGTGTTTCTCGGGGAGCAATTCATCGATGATCAGGGATTGGCGAAATGCATCAACGGCCTGTTGCTCCTCGAAATTCCGAACATCCTCAATGGAAACAGAGCTGACACGGCCATCGCTCTTCCTCCTGCTGCTCTTCTTCTTCAGTGAGTGCTTAAACTTCGACGACGCATTCAACGCCTTCTTCTTGAGAGATCCAATTCTGGTCCTCCGTTCGTCCTCGGAGTTCTCGAAATCAGATTTCCGCTCCTTCTTCTCGTCGCTCCCGGAGAAGCCTTCGAAACCTGCAAGGCAAAGCCAAAACGAATCGTTTCATGAGTGAAAAAGAAAACCTAAAACCCTAAGAAAGTGTGAGCGAGAGAGATGTTACAGGGTCTGGCGAAACGGTCGAGAGGGCCGGACATTGTAGTGTGAAGTGTCAATGTGAAAGCGAAGCCACATTCAGCGTTAAGCAAACCCTAAGATTTTGGAAGAAGAAGAAGAAGAATGGGCGCAAGTAATGAGAAAGTGGAATTGAGCGCGTGGAGCTGGAATAAGAAGAGAATGTTCGGGAATCACGAGGAGGAAGAAGAGGAGGAGGAAGGAATGGATGTTTCACTCAGACGCTGCTCTCTCTGTTTCCCTGCGACACTGCCACTACTGTAAGTTTTTACTTTTTCCAGTTTCTCTTACCGGTTCATGGAATATTTTATTTTGTTTTTTTAGGTATGGTGGCAGGAGTAGCCGGTAAAAGTCGGGGACAGCTAAAGTTGACTGACACGTGGCGGTGGAAAAGAATTTAGTATTTGGAAAATCACTGGTGGCTACTGCCTACCCTGTTGGTCTTGACCACTCACCATAAAAAAAAAGAAAATTCTTCTCTTCCTTGACATCAGGATTCATTTTCATTCCTTTCTTATTCATTTGTCTCCATCACTGCTAATTATATTCAAATATTATGTTATAAAATATTTTATATTTCTCTTATTTAATTAAATATTTTTTATCATGTGCTTGTTAAGAATAAATTAAATAAAAAAAGCTGAATTATCGCCGAAAAGAGGGGTAATAGGGCAAAATCCGTATGCAATGTCCGTAACGGGACCCGCAACGAAATTTATCACAATGGTAGTGGACGATGTTGACCCTCTTTTCATACCTCTTTATTCCTTTCTTTTTCTACTTTTGAATTCCATTATTCTTTTTCATTTCTAATTTCTCATATTTTTTTTTTCGACAGTATATATCTTAAATCAGTTCATAAGAAAATCTTATGAATGTTGTAACTATTTATTATTGAATACTCTTCAATAATAATAAATCTCTTACCCATGACAAATTAATGCTTTTACTTTATGCTAACTTCCAAACAAGTTAATACTTTTTTATTGGTTCTTTTTATTTGAGTGACTTTTTTTCTTTTTCATGATAAATGCTTCAAAGAGCGGCAATCAATGGTGCTTCCGCGTGAGAGAGATCATGTTCATGCATGTCTCAACAACACCAAACAAAAGGCATATCCCAAAACATCCACTAATTCTATCATTCTTAATTATTGCTGGGTTTTCCATTGTTTAAGGGTATATGATGAAAAAGTTAAAGGAAAATCTAATTCAATATTTTTCATTATTTTAAAATTTTAAGCGTTTTCATAATTTATTTTTAATAACTCTTTTGTTATTCTTATATAAACACGTTAAGAGACAGAATTATTATTGTAATGTTATTTGGTCTTACGTACGATGTTTTCATACTTCGATTGTTGTCTTTATTATCATTCTTCTTGCTACATGCTGCTATGAAATGGAGCAAGAACATGTGTTTTCCAGAAAATCTCCCTCAGTTTATGAAGCGTGTTTGGTGTATTCATATTTATAAATTCGTGGCTTTCATATTTGTCTTCTTTTTATGGCAAATACTACTTTAATCGAATAACGTATGAATATTGTTAGATTTTTTTAAGGTAGATACTTCTGTGTATGTATCATTTTTCTTATTTCTTACTAAGTAGAAGATTGCACTTTTTTTATTAAGAAATTTTAATGATATATAAAAATATATATACTTTTTTTATATTTAAAATAAACAATACAAACAACTTATATTCTTTAATTTATTTATTATATTTAGACTTATATTAAAATAATATCTAGTTATAATGATAAGTTAATTATATATACTTATTTTTATATTTCATATCAATTTTTTCTCTCAGATATGAAATAATAACATTTTTATTTCTTCCATAAATTTATTATTTTTCTCTCAATAATTTTGTAATTTTAGAAATAAAAAATTGTATTTAAAAATTTATATATATATATATATATATATATATAACAAATATGTCTGTATTTTCACTAATAACAATAATTAAGACAATTATAATAATAAATATATTATGGTAATACTAATGAAAATTTAAAGTGAGATGTTTAGAAGTTGTTTTGAGTTAAGTAATTTTTCAATCTTAGATATTTCAAGTAATATTATAAAATGATTTCTTAGTAAGCAACTAAACCTTAATAATGAAAAAAAAAAGCATTATAAATTTAAACCTACAATACAGTGAGTTATTTTAAGTTTTTTTCCATGAAAAATAATTAAGACATTCTAGAAAGACTAACTTTATTTGTAGTAATATTTTATGATGAAATTTTCTATGAATCATATTTGAGTATACTTTCAAATAATCTTATTTAAAATTTAAACATAAAATAAGATACATTTATGGGTATCCATAAATACTTTTAGATATAAAAAAGTCTGTTACTTTATTCATGTTTTTTTTATGGGCCAGGTAGTGATAAATTTTTATACATGTTCTTCACCTCTCTCTGATAATAAATGTGACAATAACAATTATAATTCTATATGATTATTAAACTTATGTTCGTCTGCAAGACAAATAAAGTGCAAGGAAAGAAATAAAAATGACACAAAAAGAATAAAATCTTAGTTTCAGAATATAATAATTAATTAATTAAGATTAATAGTAATTGTAAAATCACAATATCACTTACATATCTATTTTGGAGATAAATGAGAGGTTTTGAAAAAAAAATATTTTATATTTTCTACTATTTTTTTCACCTGTAAATAAGACTGGTTGAAGAGTGATATTTTTTAAATTATCAACAAAGAAGAATATGATTTGTATTTTGATATATTTTATTTATTTTTTATTTTACATTTTTCATTTTTCATTTCAACCTAATTAATCAACGTTCAAATTTATTGTCATTTTCCTAAAACTAAGTTGTGTTTATTTCTAAATTAATTTTTTATTTTATTCATATAGATGTAGAATAAACACGTTGATGTTGAATACTCTTACTAGTCTGATAAACTTATTTGTTTTTATTATTATTAAGGTGTAGGTTGGTTAGTTATAGTTGAATGATGATTGTAACTTTCTTTTATTGGCGTGCATATAGTATAAATAAGTTAATGTTTAGTACTCATCATCCGTTAAACTTATTTGTTGTTTATCAAGATGTGAGATTACTACCAATTAGGATTAGGTATAATTTAAGTTGTTAGCTTTTTTATAATTATGATTCAAATATTTACTAAAATACTTTGCACTTTTTGTCATGTTTTTTTTATTAGTATTATTTTACATAACAAAAAGTGATTGAAATTAAAACTATTTTCTTATTAGATTATTAAAACTAATTTTTTTTATGTCAGATTATTAAGGTAGGACATGAAATTTTGAACTAATTATATATTTAATATAAATATTAGTTTTCATTGTCAGATTTGTATAGTTAGATATAAAACTTGTATTATATTTTTTTTCAAAATTTTCTCTTTGTCACATGTTCATAATTTTTTTATGTTTGGATATATTTACCCACATTGGATCTTCTCTTAATGTTTGCCCGGATGTCTTGGGAGGTAAGTTATTGAATTCAGGCATTGAAGGTAAGACTACCTGCAAAGATACTTTGACGGTCAAATCAGTTATAAGGAAAATATTTTGCAAGTTTGTGGAGATAGAATAATAGTACATTTCTCATCAAACTTACTAGTATTTATAAGAACATGACCGAGCAACATAACTTAAAGTTCTACCAGGTGAGACCATATTGAGAGCTATTATAGTAAAGAGTTTTTCTCTCCTTCTTTCTCTATTCACGTGTATGTATTTATACTAATTAGGAACTAACCTTTAATATTATTATGATTTTTTGTTTCTTTTATGCCTTAGTAAATAAATTAGAGGAACCCAAAAGTACACAAAAGGAGAAGAAAGAAGAAACATCGGACAAAACTAGTGGGAGAAAAAAAAACATAAGAAAAGGAGAAGAAGGAAGAAGTCACTCCAAGAAGGAAGAAGTCACTCCTCCACCGCCATCATCGCTAGAGGATAAGAAGGTTCGAAAAACCCTAACTCAAGCTCAAAGCCAAAGAGAAGGAAGAAAAAGTTATTTGTTTTGTTGAAAATATTATTTTATTATCTTTTATTTAAATTAGGTATTAATATATTTTATTATATTTGAAGTGAAGAATATAAAAATATATTAAGTTATTATTTTGATTTAAGTAGTTATGATTGAGATATTATTAATATTTAATATTTGTCATATTTTTACTATATATAGATAGAGTACATGAATAAAATATAAACTAATACAAGATATATTTTCATATATCAGACATACACATACACAAAATCCTACAAATTTTCATCAATGGTATCGGGATCTTACTAGAAGAATGGAAGTCATTATTCCAATTATTTATGACGACTTATAGGCTATGAGAATACAATCATATCTTGAATGATTGAATTTATGGGAAGTTGTTGAAGAGGATTAAATCATTGATCTATTGTGTGAAAATTCTACCATAACCTAAATCAAAATCCACAAGAAAAGAAAATTGAGGAAGTCAAAAGTAAAGTCATGTTTATATGCAGGTATTTCACAAATGATTATCATCATAATCATAAACCTAAAGTCACCCAAAAAAATTTAGAATTATTTACAAGAAGAATATAAAGTACTCAGGAAGAAAGATAGAAAAATTTTGAGAGATAAAATCCCAACAACTAATCATGTCAACATCATTATTAGGAAACAAGACTTTGAGAAGTAACAATTGTTCAAGAAATAAAAGATCAATGGAAGATGAAAGTAAATTTTAACATGTTAGGTCTTAAATGGAATACTATCAGTGCAAGAAAGCTTTATGAGAAGAAATATCATGTTGAGAAAAAATTTTATTTGCACATAATTGCAAAAGAAAGCATGATAATAACACAACAAAATTGAATGAAGTGACGATGATATACAAAATGAAATATTCACTACTACAAATAAGGCCTTCAACGTCGGTTCCAGAACCGACGTTGAAAGTCTTATTTTTTTTGTCACTGACAGGATTCGAACCCAGTACCTTAGTGTTGGAAGCTGAT